TTTGAGCAATTTAATCAGTATAAAAACAAGGGCAAGGGAAAGCTTACTTAAGGTTCCAGAAACTTTCATCCCAAACCATTTTATCAATTTCAGACTCATGTGTTTCGTACTCCACTCCAGGAGTACTTGGACAAGCGCCACATTCCACTTATGAACCTTCTGCTCCATCATTTGTTACTTGTCAACTATGTAATAGTAAGGGTCACACATCACCATTTTGTGGTTCGACGCCCCTTACCAGACCTCAATGTCACATCTGTGGAAAAACCAATCATGCCACATGGTTTTGTTTTTACAACGAGAAATGGTTTTGTTTTTACAACGAGAAATGATCGAACTATATTAGCACTAGTTCTCATTATTCTCCCATATCTAGACAACAATATGACATTTATGCTGGACAACAATATGGAAATTTTTCTCAAAGTTCATTTCCTGCTTATAATGGGCAGCAATATTACTCACAACCATCAATGCAAGCTATGCACACTATGGTTGCTCAACCATCACAACCCTCTACATCACAGACTACCTCTCAAGCTCTGCTTACTGATTTTGGTGCGACTAATCACATGAAAGCAGATTTGAGCAACTTGTCATTGGCTTTCCCCTATCCATTCAATGAAACCATTCAAACAGCTAATGATGAAGGTTTGAAAGTGTCCCATATTAGTAGTACTATAGTTAATACTTTTGTGCAACCTATAAAGTTAAATTATGTGTTATATGTTCCCAAATTGTCACAAAATCTGCTTTCAGTTCACAAGCTGTGTATAGACAATAAATGCTACCTTATTTTCGATAATTTTTGCTTCTGGATACAGGACAAAGCCACAGGGATGATCTTATTCTGAGGGCTATGCAGTAATGGACTTTAACCCATTCATTCCTTAGCTACTTTTACTCTTGGTGTACCTCAGTCAAAGCTACAAGCTAAAGCTTTTCTTGGACAACTTGTCAATTTTACTATATGGCATAGTAGGTTAGGTCATCCCTCTAATTCCATTGTTTCTTTGATGTTGCATAAGTCCAAAACTATATGTGCCAAGGATTCTATACCTGTTATGTGTCAAAGTTGCTTAGAAGGAAAATTTTGTAAATTGCCATTTCCATCTGCTGTCAATAAGTCTATCATTCCATTTGAGGTAGTGCATAGTGACCTTTGGGGTCCTGCACCTTGTATATCAGTCGATGGATATAGGTACTATGTTACCTTTATTAATGAATGTACTAGATACACGTGGATATTCCCACTTATCAATAAATCAGATCTTTATGCTACTTTTATTGCTTTTTATGCCTATGTGTTGACTCAATTTTCTACTACTATGAAGACTTTACAAAGTGATGGGGGAGATGTGTATTGTAGTACTAAGTTTCAGTTTTTTCTAGTTAAGAAAGGCATTTCCCATAAAAAATCATGTCCATAACCCTGAAACAAAATGGGTTGGCTGAGAGAAAATATAGGTATATCATTGAAACCACCATTACTTTGCTTCAAAATACTTAGATTCCTTCTCATTTTTGGAGTTTTGTTTGTCAAGCAGCCACTTACCTAATCAATCAAATGCCTACTCCACTATTATCTCACAAATCTCCATTTGAGTTACTATATGGGAGTGTTCCAGTTCTTTCTTATTTGAAATTTTTTAGATGTGCTTGTTATCCACTTCTTAAACATTACTATAGCACCAAGTTACAACCCAAGACAACTAAGTGTATCTTTTAAGGGTATGCTTCCAAATACAAAGGGTTTTTGTGTTATAAGGTTGCAAGATAGAAAATTTTTGTATCAAGGCATGTATTTTTCTATGAACAAGAGTTTCCTTTAAAAGACTTATTGATAGCATCTACTATCAATACTAATACCACATCATCTGTGTCTTTACCAATTCTAGTTGTTACATTAAACAACTTAGTAGTTTCATCTATCGCTGCACTAGTTACAGAGTTCACTTCCTCTTCTATGCATTCCAACTCTCATGTGTTATCTTTAAACCTATCTTCACCATCACTTTCACGTAGTACCAATCTACCTCTACTTCATGTATCTCAATCCATTACTGCTACAGAAACTGAATACTTTGAGATCCATGTAGCACCTGTCCATTGTCCTGACACTCTTCAAGTGTTATTATCAATTCCACCTATGAATCTACATCCTATGCAAACTAGAAGCAAAAATGGGATAATAAAAAAGAAAGCACTTGTATCAACTTTACAGTTAGCCAATGCAAGTGATCTTTCTTTGGTTGAACCTAGTTCTTATAAGTCAGCTCTCAAGTGTCCTGTTTAGTTAAATGTTATAAAGGAAGAAATTGGTGCACTTCATACTCAAAAAACTTAAAGTTTGGTAGCTTTACCTCAGAACAAGAATTTGGTAGGTTGTAAATGGGTATTCAAGCTTAAGAAACATGTTGATGGTATTATAGCTAGACATAAGGCTCGGTTGGTAGCAAAAGGGTTTAGTCAAGAACCTGGGATTGATTATACTGAAACTTTCAGTCCTATTGTTAAACCAACAACAATAAGGATAATGTTGGCTTTAGCTGCTCATTTCAATTGGTCTATTAGGCAATTAGATATCAAAAATGCTTTTTTACATGGCATTTTACAAGATGAAGTATATATCGTGCAACCTCCAGGTTTTAAGGATTCTACGTATCCTAATTTGGTCTGCAAACTTCATAAATCTCTTTATGGTTTGAAACAGGCTCCCAAAGCCTAGAATGAGAGATTTACTACTTTTCTTCCTAAGTTGGGGTTCTGGAATACATATTTAGATTCATCACTGTTTGTGCAGACTGTTGGTTCCATCTTGGTTATTTTGTTACTCTATGTGGATGATATCATTATCACTGGCAATGATTTTATGGCTATTCAACAGGTTATTCAGTCATTGACCTCTAAATTTGATATCAAAGACCTAGGTTCTCTGCATTATTTTTTGGGTATTCAAATCTCTTGAACCACAATTGGTTTGTTTCTTTCACAGCAAAAGTATGTCCATGATCTGTTGGTTAAAATAGAAATGGCTGATTCTGAACCTTGTGATACACCTTGCCTACCTTATAATAGGCTCCTTAAGGATGATGGTGAACCATACAACAATCCTACCCTTTTATAGGAGTGTTGTCGGTGCTCTACAATATTTAACTTTTACCCGGCCTGATATTGCTTTCTCAGTTCACCAAGTCTGTCAATTTATGCAGTGTCCTATGTTCTCACATTACACTGCAGTTAAGGGTACTATGACATATGGCTTGACTTATTCCATTTCAGATTTGGACATTAAGGCATTCAGTGATGTTGATAAGGCAGGCAATCTTAATGATCGAAGATCCACCACTAGGTTGGTTGTTGACTTGGGTGGTAATCCTATATCTTGGTCCTCAAAGAAGCAACAAATTGTCTCTAAGTCTTCCACAGAGGTTAAGTATAGGGCCTTGTCTTCTACAGTTGCAGAACTTGATTGGATTAAGCAAATTCTCGATTTTCTGCATGTTAAAGTCCCTTATATTTCAGTTCTGTTTTATGATAACATGTCGGCCATCGCCTTATCCTTCAATCCCGTTCAACACCGAAGAACAAAACATGTCGAGGTTAGTGTTCACTTTGTTCGAGAACGGGTTGCTAAGAATTAACTCCATGTTTAGTTTGTCTCTTCCAAGGAACAATTTCTAGATATTCTAACTAAGGGATTAAGTGCCCCTTTGTTTCATACACATTGTAGAAATCTCATGCTAGGATCATCCAAGCATGAGTTTGAGGGCGGATGATAGAGATATTATGTTTGTGTTTGAGATTATGACACTTGACATAAGATTAGCTAGGTAGTTAGATTAGTTGCAATCTTGTGCTTTCTATATATACTTGTATTGAGATTTCTTACTTACTAAGAAATAATATATCAAAGAAATATTCAGCCTCTCTTTCTCTTCTATGTGAATCTTCTCTTTCTCTCTTTATTCATATACGAGATATGTTTCTTTCTCTAGCTTAACAGTTGGAACAACTTTCAAGAAAGACACTAAAGATCTTCAAAATTTGTATGTAATATTTAAACTTTCAATATAATATTAAATGAGAGGTCTTAGGTTCAATTATCGTCAAAGACGATTTTGAACCACATTATTGCTAGTCTATTGTGAAACTTAGTCTACCCTCCTCGGTCCTTTCCCTTAACCCCTTAGTGTAGATAATTTCGTTTGTTAAAAAAAAATACAGGATTTATGAGTGACTCTTTTTTCTTCTTGTCATTTCACAAATTTCTTTTAATGCACAAGTTAGAGTATATGTAATCAATTTTTCGTACCCTACTTGGAATGGTTCTTAATTGCTAAATTAAACCCTATACTGGGAGCTTTACATCATTAAAAACTCTACAACGACGTTTGTAGAATGGTTCAAAAATACAAGAGCTCATCTCGATCTTTAATTTATCACGTGATATTCATTTTAGTATAATTTGTAAACACGTTACACATATGGGAATTGTTATTAGCACTTCAAAAAACTCATTTTGCATTTCAAACTTTTTATAATTAGAAAGAAAAATACACTTGTGAGTAGTGTAAAATAAGATTTTTTTAGTGTTAATTACAGTTTCCTATACATATTAATTAGACATCAAAATGTAAAAACTAAATCCAAGTTGCACGAGAGAAGAATTTCTTCAAGAATATAGGTTTCAAGTCAAATCAATAAGTGGCTTTTTTTTTTTTTTGAGCAAAAAATATTATCTATACTAAAAAGGGAGGGATGAACTTAGTCTCACAATGGGTTAATAATAATATGGTTCAAATTCGCCGTAGATGAAAATTGTATCTAAAACTTTCATGTGTGTGTTTTTTTTTTCTTTCCTTCTTTTGATTCAAAAACCAGTTCGGGTCTGAAGTGACAGCTCAATCACTTCAACAACACAGAAATTGCAAAAACAAAGCCCAAATAGGATTTCTTCCAGACCCTTCTATTCCCCTACTTTATTGGGCCGCCCCTCAAAATTCAAGATCCTTCCACACCCCTCAGTTCTCCCAAAGAACACTCCAGACAATTTCCCCCACCCTATTTCTCTCTCCTCTCCGCATCCCAAACCCTCACTCTCTCTCTCTCTAGAACTTTGAGTGTGATTCCTGATTCGAATCAATGGCGAAGTACGGCGAGGGCGACAAGCGGTGGATCGTGGAGGACAGGCCCGACGGAGCTAACGTCCACAACTGGCACTGGGCGGAGACCGACTGCCTTGGCTGGTCACGTGACCTCCTTGCTAAGCTCCTCAACAACCTCACCATCCTCGATGGCGAAGGCAACCTCCACCTCAAGACCAAGACCGTCGACAAGGTCGACGGCGAGGCCTACGTCAACGTCCGGAAGGGGAAGATCATCCCGGGATACGAAATCAGCCTCAATCTGTCGTGGGAGGGGGAGGCGAAGGACGGCGACGGGAAATCACTGCTGAAGGTCGACGGAGTTGTGGAGATTCCTTATATTTCAGACGAGAACGCCGACGAGGACCCGGAGGTTAAGATTTCGGTGAAGGATGAGGGGCCGGTTGGGAGGAGGATTAAGGAGGCGATGGTGGCGAAGGGGAAGCCTTTGATTTTGGAAAAGGTTAGGGTCTATGTGGAGAGTATGGCGAAGGGCGGGCCTGCGAAGGAGGAAATTGAGGTTAAGAAGATTGCGCCGAAGAGTAATTCGACGGCGGCGGTGGCTGCGGCGGCAGCGAAGGAGGTAGCTGTGGAGAAAGGGGAGGCGAAGAAGGAGAGCAAGAAAGGGTTTAAGACGATTAGTTTGACAGAGAAGTTCAGTTGCAGGGCGAAAGATATGTTTGAGATTTTGATGGATGACAATAGGTGGAAGGGTTTTACGCAGAGCAATGCGAAGATAAGCAAGGAGGTTGGAGGGCCGATCAGTATTTTTGATGGGTCGGTGACCGGTTCGAATTTGGAGTTGCAGAATGGGAGTTTGATTGTGCAGAAGTGGAGATTTGGGAGCTGGCCTGATGGGATTGACTCGACGGTATGTGGAATTTGAAATTTAGTTTTCGTGTTTGAATGTGTTATTTTGGGTAGTTTTAATTGGTTTTGTGATTTGGGGATTGAGTGTTATGTTTGAATTTTGTAGGTGAGGCTTACACTTGAAGAACCTGAACCTGGTCTCACTGTTGTTAAGCTAACACATACGAATGTTCCTGAGGAAGATAGGTTGGTTTTGTTTAAGCTTTCGGTTAATGGGTTGTTCTCGAAAACAAATTGAGTTTGATTGAATTGGAGCTTGTGAGTTGAATTGTTTTCTTGGATGGAAAGTTGATTGCCTGGTTTTTATGTGTTTGGTAATGCAGATATGGGAATGCGACTGTGGTGGAGAATACGGAGAGAGGATGGCGGGATCTAATCTTCCAGCGGATAAGGGCAGTTTTTGGTTTTGGCATTTAAGATATTCAAGTAGGTTTTCTCTTGGAATTGTAGAATTTGATGGTTTTGGAAGCGTGAATTCAATGTTTGGAATTAACTTACCGGGTCTAAATGCTTTGAATCTAAGACATTGAGTCCAATGTTATAATGTTGTGCACTGTCATTGATAAGCAGATTTTCTTCGTAATGAATTGTCAGTCCTCTCAAGACTTTAATAACTAAACTTCTTGTGTTAGTATGATTGAGGAAGAGTTAGATTGGTCTCATTGTGTTTCTTTTCTTGTTTCCATTTTTTCTTTTTATTCCGAACCGTTTTTGCTTTTCATCACTGCAAGGAAACTAGGTTTGTCTCTTGATGCTTTGCTGAAGACTCGTGCTTTTGACACATATGGCAAATAAACGTCATTTACGAGTATGTTTGTTACTTGTTTCATTGTTAGCAAATGAACATAAAGTTAATTTGTTAACTTCTTGTAACTTGTTAACTGGTTATTAGAGGGCCTTATCACGTTATGCTGACGCCATATGTGAATGCGAAAGCTTGAAGATTGGATTTGATAAGGGTATGTTTTCTAATCATGTGTTATTGTATAGGTGTATGTATCATACAGTGTGATTTTATAGTTAGAAATGAACCTATGCTATTGTTATGTTGTAGCTTGTTAATGGTTTATTCACAACTAATACTGGCGAAGATTTTTTTAGAGGGATGGGTACATTACATTACTAGACCCTACAACCACACAGATTGAATGCAGGTCTCGACTGTAGGTAATATCTACAGACATGCCTGTATCAGTTAGTTTTCGTACGCTGTTCACCGCACCGTGTGTTTGTACAACTGCCTGCTTGAGAGCAGCGCTGCTTTTAGCTGTAGTTAAGTGTTGTGAAATGCGAGTGAAGATTAGCGGTAGTATACATAGTTGCAGAGGTCGCAGTTAGGTGAAGTCTTTTGACAGTGATTCATTTGGCTCAAAAACAATCGAGTGTACTTCCTTGTAGAAGTGGAGAGTGAGGAACCCTGCAGTCTTAAGAAACTAAACGGCTCCATGAATCTTCTCCTTCTGTATTTGATACGATGTTTGCTCCAGCAAGCTGCGCTCCGTTCCCCGCCGGATGCACGAAACTTAGGCCTTTCTGTTGCTGTTATGCCTTACCCAATATGGATCTGTCTGCAAATTATCTTTCGGGATTCAGTCATCCTGTGATTTTAATGTCGTAAAGAGGAATCATATCCGGTTTGGCAACTCCTCGCGGGGGGATGAATCAAGATAATTTCGAATTGGAGCCCTAGATTTTTGCTCATCCCTCGCTGTAATAATATCTTAGGGTTTACAGCGATAACTATTAACTAAAATATGTCTATTGTTCAATCATTTGATAACCAGAATTAATCTTTGATAAATGATTACTATGAGTCAGATTCAATAGAATTTGATCAATCATTTTTTCTATCATTAAGGTGGAGAATTGAATCAAGAATTCTCTTTCTTTATCATCAATTGAATCATTGTTTGAGACCCAGGATTCTATTTTATCATCAATCCAATCACCATTCACGTTTTTTCTTTTTCTTATCAATGAATGGATCAAAAACCTAAGGAGGTTCATGGTTAAGGGTAAAGATGTTCAAGTAACGGTTATTTTGGAATGTACTAGTTGTGTTCGAAATCGTGTTAATAAGGAATCAATGGGCATTTCCAGATATATTACTCAAAAGAATCGACACAATACGCCTAGTCGATTGGAATTGAGAAAATTCGGTCCCTGTTGTTACAAACATACGATTCATGGGGAGATAAAGAAATAGATTTAGGGTTTAGGGTTTAGGGTAACGTAGGAGACATCTCTATTTTTCCCCGGGGGAATCCTTAGAATTACCACTGCTTAGCTTTCAATTCGCCTCTGACCATCAAATGAAATGTGAATAACCCGTCCTCCTCTCTTTGAAACAAGGGGCGAAGAATTATTTAGTTGTTACAGTTAATTGACTAAATGACTTTAATTATAATCTAGTGAAATATAATATGAAAGGTTTTGATTATAAGTAGAAAGTTTGGTGAAATCCGCCAAAACCTTTAGCTAAGTAGTCTATTTTTTCATGTTATTTTACCAAGGAGGCCATTCTTTGGAAATGACCTCATTGTATGAAACAACCCTGCACAATCCAGCAAGATATGGAGCTAAGGCCGAGTTCTGGCATATTTCATCTCGAACACAAGATTTTCCGTCCGATGAGGCCTCGGAAGAACGGAAAATTGAGCTCGGAAATGGAGTTCATCATTACAAACATCTTAAGAAACAAGACAAAGAGAAGAGAAGTAAATTTGACTGTACAGATTGCTCTTTCATTGACGAATACATATATGCAAGTATTGTGGCCTACCGGAAAAGAAAAGTTGAGAGGAAACAGAGCGATCAGAAAACCGAATTATCACACAAAGTTTTGGAGCATTTCTCTCACTTCTTCAAGCACAAGCCATGCTTTATGTCCCCCAATCACTTCGGCTTTAAACTCTCCATCTTTCCATACCTGCAAATACATTTATCAAATGCATTTAGAACAGTTTAGCAATGTTGTTTATCACAACCAGAAATTGTTAACTGCAAAAGGGAAACTCTCACCTGAATTGTTGGCATTTTCTGAGAAAATGAAACAAGAAAAAAAAAAATTAATGTTACGGTAAATAATGAGGGTAAGGATGGGTTTACACCTCCTCGATACGTGACAGTGGTATCTCTATGAATAACATAATAGTCATTTGTGTTAATGTTCTCATATGACATTGCATTATTGGTATGAGATGTCACAGTGGCGTATCAGGAGTGTAATAAGAAAGTCTCTTTCAAAATGCAGATAGACGTACAGAGATGTTTCCCCGCTTTACTAGAGCTTGAGGTACTTTGTTGACATCAACGTAGTAGAATTTGACCCTGTTATGTTTATGTACATAAAAGGGTTTTCACAGTTAGTTCATAACATGGCTAGTCTTATTTTTGTTGGGAGGGACGGAGGGAGGGAGAGTTATTACTTGGTGTCATATTCAGCAGCCAACTTCTCCAATTTAGGCTTCAAATATATGCATTTGCGGCACCAAGATGCCATCCTGTCAATTGGTAGAGGGAAAACTATGTTCAAGTCACCAAATTTAGTGGTAAGAGATAATTTACTTTAAATTTCGGTTCACTTAACTTACTCTTGATCTAGTCGTATTCCTCTTCCTATTGCAAGAAACCTTATATTTGAATTTCCATTTCCATGGATGACAAAATGAGGAATGCTATTAAGACTTCCTCAAAACAAGTCAAAGTGAGACTGGTATATGAACCTTTGCCTCAACAGTTAATTTTGTAGTTTGCTTATCTAAACTAGCTTTGTTCAAGAGAGCAATTTACATGAAACCGTATTGTTTTTATTAGTTTCGTGCCTACGATACAACATTATGTGAACACAAATTTATATATCTTTGTATGATTGTATCAACAACAATAGCATGAAATGCAACAATGACAATATACTCATGTCATATAAATTCTTGTGCTCTTTAGATGCGCTCAGCGAGTCTAAAACAGGCTTCCACCAGAAAGTAAACCGTATTTATTTCTAAGAGATAAGATAAATAATGTGAAAACATTTAAGTGGCCTAGCATGCATCAATTCATATATATATAAATAGAGAGAGAGAGAGAGAGAGAGAGAGAGAGAGACCAATCAATGACAATGGGCTGGGATCTCTCCTGTGCCTGGCTGAGAATCTGGTCAAGCTGATCACAGTCGTTGATTGCTTCCATCTCCACAACAGTGGGTCTCGAGGTATCCGTGCCCCAAAAGGCCTCAACTTTCAAGTCCATCTTCAACATCCTGTTCCCATCTCGGTTTCTGTTCAAAAACCCTAATCCGGAAGCTTTTGGCAACAGCAAGAAACCGCCGCCGTTGCTCCAGAACTGTGGCTGTTGCTCTCTGTGATGGACTTCTCTGCTACACAGGACGTGAGAATTGGCTGCCAAAACAGACATCTTACTCCAGTACTCCTATTCTCTCTGTTATAGTATCAACTATTACAAAGAAGAAGAAGAAAACATACGACTTTTGATTCGGAGAAAGTGTGAGTTTTAGGATGATGGGTCAGAAAATGGTGGTTTTCTTATGTTGGATATTTTGACACTTGAGCAGTTTGGTTTATTTTATTTTTTAGGATATTTGTCTTGATTCGAAAAGTGGGAGGAAATGGAAACGTTTGTGGAAAGCTTATCCACAAGTGAGGCACAAAATGATAAAGTCTAGTTAGAATATATTCAGAGAGAATATTTTTACTCATTGTTATAATTATGATGTATGTTTATAGTACATTTGATTATTTGTCATGTATTTTTTTTTTTAATTCTTATTAATTTTCATATTAAATGTTACTTTTTAATTTAAAAACAAATTAACCACAGTGTTTAATAAAAAATAAAAAAAATACTTGGTACTCACCAGGAAGTACTCAAATACCTATAGTGGGTGTTTTCAAAATTAAAGATAGGATAATACTTGGTACTCACCCAATTCCAGTGGAGAGTACCCAATTTACTGATCATTTATCTGGCCCAATAATTTTAGAACACCTGGCATTTCAACTCTCTTTCAATATTTGGCTCTCTCCGTAACCAAACACATTTTGTAACCGAGACCAAACACCTATCTTCTTATCCATCTTCTTTCCTTGCCCAGCCCAATCCCTCTCTTTCTCCGGCGACCATGGCAGATCCACCAAAGGTTCTCCGTCTGCCCAACCACCCATGTCTCTTATCCCTTGTCATCAAAATCTGTGACAGGTTGACCAATTTTTTTGTCGAAATCACTTGCTGATTGATGTCGCAGAGAAGAAGTGGATGGGGTTCAGATCGACGGAGGAGAGATGGATAGAGTGGAGGTGTGCCACTACGGTAGACGGTTGGAAGATTTGGGCTGACGGTTGGAGAAGGGACCGGAGATGGAGTCGACTATTGGAGGAAAGAAGTTGGAGGCGGGTGGTTGGGATGAAGCAGAACGATCTGGCATGGCAAGATGGAGAAGAAGAGAGGTGTTTGGTTCCGGGTACAAAGGTGTTTGGTTCCAGAGATAGCAAAATACGGGAAGAGAATTATAATGACAAGTGTTTCAAAATCATTGGGCCACATAAGATGGTCAGTAATTAGAGTACTCCCCATTCAGTACTCAAGTACTGTCCGTATTCGAAAAAAATTAATCTAGGTTTAATGAAAGGACACGGGACAGATGATTAGATTTATGGTAAGTATACACCATGATTTATAGTGGTGAGCAAAATTACTCCTAATTTTGTAGACTAAATTTACAAAATAAATGATGTGTCATTAATAAAAAAAAAACACGTTAATCAATAATTAAGTAATAATTCAATCATCAATTTTTATGTCTTTTAATTTTTAAAATTTAATTTATATATTTAGCCTCTCTAGCATTACCCAACTCAAAATACTCACATTTGGAGTAACGTTTTTGGGAAGAAATGCTTTGTTAAATGCTACCCAAAACAATGCAGGCCCATTTGATTCTTATTTGGGTTGGACTCATCACAATCATACCATGCCAACAATCATGTTGGACTTGTGCATTTTCTGTTTGGTCACTGAAATATTTGTACCAATATAGGTATAAGAAGATTACCCGGTTTTGGTTTTCATTTATTGTTTTTTGGTTTTCATTTATTGCTTACATATGAAAATAATAAATTTTAAAATATGAAACAAGTTTTTTTTGCTAGGTCCCATGAAAATGTCTAATTTTGCAATATTCACATACACAAAATATAAAACAAATCATTCTCGTGTGTGAAGTTGTTCACTTTTTCAAATTTTATTTAAAGCCTCTGATATCTCAAGACTGACTCTGCTAATAGATGTGATATTCACTTATGTATTAGATCGTACGTCTAAATTAGAGATGCAGTACCCCAAGCGTTAGTCATTATTTGAAAGTTCACCATACTATAAAGCTTCAGCAACAAACTTAAGAGGAGAAACGGGTACGTGCCCCATGTGGATGATCCGTCGTTTCTACAACTATATAAGTAGAAATAATGCATGCAAGCTAAAAAGCTTGCTGAGTATATGTGCTATGCAGTGTTCAACTTTTGTGCTCAGACATTCACATGGGCCGGCTGAAATCATGACCGTAATTCAAATTCCTTCTTTTGTACGTTTGTTATTTATACTATTATTAACAAAATCCTTGTTGTCAACTTTTTGCTAATTTTTTTTTTTCCTTACTTTTGATAGACAATATTGACATGAGGAGGGTAAAATAATAATTTTCTATCTTTTGAACTTTTTGCCTATTTTGCCCTCACTTTTAATACACAATATTTACGCAATGAGGGCAAAATGTTAATTTTGAGAAAATGACAATCATATCCCTATTTTCCTATTTTACCTATATTTTTGATACACAATATTTACATAAGATAAAAAATATGCACTTATTAAGAGAAATTATCACACCATCATTTTTTCATACATATAAGTCCTGAGGAGAACGTGGAGGAGGTGGGCGGTTGAAGAGGCTTTGATTTTGTCAATCATATTCCTATTTTTCCTATTTTACCCTCATTTTTTTGAGAAAATAACAATTATATACCTATTTTTCCTATGACAAAAAAATATGCCCTTATTAGATAAAATGTCTTAGAGAGATTATATTCACACACCCCACCTGGTATTCGTGTCGTGTTTCTCGTGTTCGTGTCATTTTCGTGTCATACCCTATAGCTTAATGGGTCGTGTCGTGTAATGCCCGTTAAAGTAAACGGGTAATATGACTCGATCCAAAATCAACCCGTTAATATTATCAGGTAATATGACCCGACCCGTTACCCGTTAAGAAAAATATATTTTAAATCAATAAAAATGAAAATGAAAAACATAATTTGACCCAAAAAAATGTAAAACATAATACTAAATTAGTAAATACATACTAAATTTTGGAGTTGACCCCTTCATGAAAATTGTAAAGTTTTTCATTACAAGTGATTACATTTTTCACACTTCTACAATAATTATTATTAATTTTGCGCTCAAATAAAAAATAATATTCATGAGATTTGGACAGTTTTAAAAATCTAAACGACCATGTAACCATCTTCTAAGCGTTGATGATACAATTATGAACGTTTATTATGCTTTCACATATTTCAGACTTATCCATTAATGATTATGAATTTTGTTTATTTTGAACTCCCTTAAAAATACTATTCATGAGAGTTTTTATGGTTTTAAAAATTCAAACAATCATATACCCATCCTCAAAGCATAGATGATGCGACTACGAGCGTTTACATATTTTTTCATATTTTTCACACATGTAAATTAATTATTATAAATTTTTTAATGTGTTTGGTATTTTTAAATTACTTAATATTTTTATTTTTAATGTGTTTTATGATTTTTAATCTCAATCTTTGTCTATAATATACTATAAAAATAAATAAATAAAACTTAAATTTTAAAATTTATATAGAATAATAATTAATAAACAATATATACATATTCATTATATCTATTGTATTTTATAGTAAGTTTTTTTTAGTAGTTTAAAAAATTAAAATCATCAAAATAACTTTTTTCTTATCGTGTCGAAACAGGTTACCCTTGTGTCACTCTCGTGTAAACCTGCTAACGATCCGTTATTAACGCGTTATTATCGTGTGACCCGATTAGTTATCGTGTTGACCCAAAACCCGTTATTTTCGTGTCGTGTTAACGAATCGTGTAAGAAATTGACAGGTTTAGCCCAAATTACTTCTCTCACACCCTTTTAATTTGTTAATATTTTCTACACACCACTAACACTTGATAGAAAAATATTAAAAAATTAAAAAGGTGTGGGAGAAGTAATTTGGGGTGTGTGAATATAGGACAAGGATTGTCTGCCCTCCCACTTCTGGTGCCCTGCCGTGCCCTTTTGTTTGTGTGGTCACGGTTAAGCCACGTCAACATTTTATATTACTATTTATTTTTGTCTTATTATCTCTATAAAAAAATAATATAAAATGTTGACGTGGCTTAACCTTGATCACACAAAATAGGAGGACACCGGAAGTGGGAGAGCAGACAATCCTTGTCTGTGAATATAATCTCCCAATGTCTTATCACCATTGTCTTATACTCTTTTAAAATTTTGAAAACTAATCATACTCTTTAATAAAAAAAACAAAAAATAAAATGAAATCCTTCGCACACAAAGTGTGTGCTCATCTTCTAGTTTAAATTATTGCATGTCATTTCCCAGCTAGATAGCAGCAGAGAGACCCACGCATTCCTGCATGCTTGTTTCGATTGCATCTCACGGCTAAAGTTGCTTCATATATCGTAACACTGTGATGTTTATATAGTACCCTAATTACATCTCATATGTCCAATAAAAATTGTTTTTCTTCTTTTTGTGACATCGGTTGGGATCGTCAATTTGTGGACAGCCAATTTCTTTTCTTGTAAACTTTAAAATTCACTTCAAATTTTTGTTTTCCTCGTAATTACTTATGAGAATTAGTTTTGAGCTGTTCATGAAATCTATAAATTATCTTTTGTGGTTGGGACCTTCTTTTTCAACTCATTGCATTCTAGGTTCAAACTTTTCTCCCTCATTTTAAAATAGAGCAGTGCCGACTGTAATAAAAGAAAAGAAAAATTACATATATATAATGCCTTCTTATTTTTTTTTACTTTTTTTTTAAATTTTATTTTACAAACTATTGATTATTAATCTCAATTATCAAAATTATGAATTCTCCATAAAAGCCTAGTGATGTTGCTTGTCCTTAAACTTTACAATTACTTCTCTTTCTTAATAATTTTCCTCACTTTTTAAAACTGCAATGACTTGGTACTAGATGCATAGATGTTGCTAGTCACTCTGGTTGAACAAATATTCATATTTTTACACCAATATATCGACATAATTACTTGACAATGCCGGAATGTCGAGGATATCATTAGTTAGTTTTTTTAGTTGTAATTATGTTAAGATCTAATGATCTCATCGACACTAAAATGATTGCAAACTCTTCTCTTTGTGTTTTCTTGTTTTTTCTCTTCTGTTTTTACAATCGGGGTTATGTATATACATGTATATATGTATATATATTACAATGCTAAAACAGAATGTGTTGAGATAATTGATAGTTTGAATGACATTAAACTTGAACTCTAACACTTATCTCCTTTTAAAATGTTGTCGTCACGTTTGGGAGAAAAATGCATAAGAGATCATCATGTTTCGACAAAAATTAAAAAAAGAAGAAGAAGAAGAAGATCATCATGTCTCTCCAAATTTGAGCAAAATCAAATGGCACAGCTTGTCTTTTTCTTTGATCATTAAAGTTTGATTGGTTCGGGAGGTTGGTCGGTGAAGATGAACTTGTTGAGTGATTTGGACTTGGACAAAAGTCAAACTGTCTAAATTGTTGGGTTTTGGTTTTGAGCTTTAAGTTGTGATCCACAATAAATCGAATTGGACGGTTGGAGCATTTCTCTCACTTCTTCAAGCACAAGCCATGCTTTATGCCCTCCAATCACTTCGGCTTTAAACTCTCCATCTTTCCATACCTGCAAATACATTTATCAAATGCATTTAGAACAGTTTAGCAATGTTGTTTATCACAACCGGAAATTGTTAACTGCAAAAGGGAAACTCTCACCTGAATTGTTGGCATTTTCTGAGAAAACGAAACAAGAAAAAAAAAAATTAATGTTACGGTAAATAATGAGGCTAAGGATGGGTTTACACCTTCTCGATACGTGACAGTGGTATCTCTATGAATAACGTAATAGTCATTTGTGTTAATGTTCTCATATGACATTGCATTATTGGTTTGAGATGTCACAGTGGCGTATCAAGAATGTAATAAGAAAGTCTCTTTCAAAATGCAGATGGACGTACAAAGATGTTTCCCCGCTTTACTAGAGCTTGAGGTACTTTGTTGACATCAACGTAGTAGAATTTGACCCTGTTATGTTTATGTACATAAAAGGGTTTTCACAGTTAGTTCATAACATGGCAAGTCTTATTTTTGTTGGAAGGGACGGAGGGAGGGAGAGAGGAGGGAGGGAGAGTTATTACCTGGTGTCATATTCAGCAGCCAACTTCTCCAATTTAGGCTTCAAATATATGCATTTGCGGCACCAAGATGCCATCCTGTCAATTGGTAGAGGGAAAACTATGTTCAAGTCACCAAATTTAGTGGTAAGAGATAATTTACTTTAAATTTCGGTTCACTTAACTTACTCTTGATCTAATCGTATTCCTCTTCCTATTGCAAGAAACCTTATATTTGAATTTCCATTTCCATGGATGACAAAATGAGGAATGCTATTAAGACTTCCTCAAAACAAGTCAAAGTGAGACTGGTATATGAACCTTTGCCTCAACAGTTAATTTTGTAGTTTGCTTATCTAAGCTAGCCTTGTTCCAGAGAGCAATTTACATATAACGGTACTGTTTTTATTAGTTTCGTGCCTATGATACAACATTATGTGAATAAAAATTTATATATCTTTGTGTGATTGTATCAACAATAATAACATGAAATGCGACGATGATAATATACTCGTGTCATATAAATTCTCTTGCTGTTTAGATGCGCTTAGCGAGTCTAAAACAGGCTTCCACTAGAAAGTAAACCGTATTTACTTCAAAGAGATAAGATAAATAATGTGAAAACATTTAAGTGGCCTAGCATGCATCAATTCATATATATATAGAGAGAGAGAGAGAGAGAGAGAGAGAGCAATCAATGACAATGGGCTGGGATCTCTCCTGTGCCTGGCTGAGTATCTGGTCAAGCTAATCACAGTCGTTGATTGCTTCCATCTCCACAACCGTGGGTCTCGAGGTATCCGTACCCCAAATAGCCTCAACTTTTAATAAATCCATATTTTTTTAAATATTACATAATTACTATTTTATCATTCTTATGTAAATATTAAATATCAAAAATAAAAGTAAAATTGAAAAAATAAATATATGATTGTCATTTTTTCAAAAAAAAAAAATGATAAAATAGGAAAAATAGAGATATAATTGTTATTTTATCAAAAGGTACAAAATTACTATTTTACCCTCCTTTTTGTCAATAGAGTGAATAAAAAAAAAAGGCAAAATAGGAAAAAAAAAAAAGAGGAAAATTTTTGACAAAGAGGGTTCTCTTAATAGTATATATAGATTATGTATGTTTATGGTATATTTGATCATCTGTCACATATTTTTTTCCTTAATTCTCGTTAATTTTCATATTAAATGTTACATTTCAATTTAAAGAAAAATAAAAAATTAACCACGGTGTTCAATAAAAAAAATAATACTTGCGTGCTCGCTAGGATGTACTCAAATAACATAGCGGGTGTTTTCAAAATTAAAGATAGGATAATACTTGGTACTCTCCCAATTCCACTGGAGAGTACCCAATCTACTGATCACTTTATCTGGCCCAATAATTTTAGAACACCTGGCATTTCAACTCTCTTTCAATATTTGGCTCTCTCTGTAACCAAACACATTTTGTACCCGAGACCAAACACCTCTCTTCTTATCCATCTTCCTTCCTTGCCCAGCCCAATCCCTCTCTTTCTCCGGCGACCATGGCAGGTCCACCAAAGGTTCTCCGTCTGCCCAACCACCCATGTCTCTTATCCCTTATCATCAAAATCTGTTACAGGTTGACAAATTTTTTTGTCGAAATCACTTACTGATTGATGTTGCAGAGAATTTGGAGAAGTGGATGGGGTTCAGATCGACGGAGGACAGATGGATAGAACGATCTGGCATGGCAAGAAAAGAAGATGGAGAAGAAGAGAGGTGTTTGGTTCCGGGTACAAAGGTGTTTGGTTCCAGAGATAGCAAAATACGGGAAGAGAATTATAATGACAAGTGTTTCAAAATCATTGGGCCACATAAGATGTTCAGTAAATAGAGTACTCCCCAGTAAGAACTCAAGTATTTTCTGTCTTAAAAAAAAAAATTAATCTAGGTTAAGTGAAAGGATACATGATAGATGATTAGGTGCATGGTAAGCAGCAAAATTACTCCTAATTTTGCAGACTAAATTTACAAAATAAATAATATGTCACCAATATATAAAAAAACACGTTGATCAACACTTATGTAATAATTCAATCATCAAACTTTATGTCTTTTAATTTATAAATTTTAGTTTATACATTTAGAGATTATGACTCAAAATATTCACGCGTGGAGTAACGTTTTTGGGAAGAAATGCTTTGCTGAATGCTACCCAAAACAAAGCAGGCCTATTTGATTCTTATTTGGGTTGGACTCCTCACAATCATACCATGCCAACAATCATGTTGGACTTGTGCATTTTCTGTTTGGTCACTGAAATATTTGTACCAATATGGGTATAAGAAGATAACCCGGTTTTGGTTTTCATTTATTGTTTTTTGGTTTTCATTTGTTGCTTACATATGAAAATAATAAATTTTAAAATATGAAACAAATTTTTTTTGCTAGGTCCCATGAAAATGTCTAATTTTGCAATATTCACATACACAAATTATGAAACAAATCATTCTCATGTGTGAAGTTGTTCACTTTTTCAAATTTTATTTAAAGCCTCCGACATCTAAAGACCGATCCTGCTAACAGATGTGATATTCACTTCTGTATTAGATCCTACGTCTAAATTAGAGATGCAATACCCCAAGCGTTAGTCATTATTTGAAAGTTCACCATACTATAAAGCTTCAACAACAAACTTAGAGGAGAAACGGGTACGTGCCCCATGTGGATGGTCCATCGTTTCTACAACCATACAATTAGAAATAATGCATGCAAGCTAAAAAGCTTGCTTACTATATATGCTATGCAGTGTTCAACTTTTGTGCTCAGATATTCACATGGGCCGGCTGAAATCATGACCTTTCCGGGTAAGTAATTCAAATTCCCTCTTTTGCACGCTTGTTATCCTTAAGGGAGTCTTCATTGTCAAATTTTTGTCATTTTTTTATTTATTTTGTTCTCACTTTTAATATACAATATTGGCATAAGGAGGGCAAAATAATAATTTTGTATCTTTTGAACTTTTTGCTCTTTTTGCCTATTTTACCCTCACTTTTAATACACAATATTTACATAAGGAGGGCAAAATGGTAATTTTGTATCTTTTGAGAAAATGACAATCATATCCCTATTTTTCCTATTTTACCCTCACTTTTGATGCACAATATTTACATAAGATAAAAAATATGCACTTATGAAGAGAAATTGTCCCACCATCATTTTTTCATACAGGTAAGTGAAATCATAATGTTTTTTGGATAGGTTGATTGAACTGAAGCGGTTGCGCTTAAGGAGATCGTAGAGGAGGTGGGCGGTTGAAGAGGCTTTAATTTTGTTAATTATATCCTTATTTTTCCTATTTTACCCTCATTTTTTTAGAAAATGACAATCATATACCTATTTTTCCTATGACAAAAAAAATATGCCCTTATTAAGATAAACTGTCTCATCATCATTGTCTCATACTCTTTTTTTAAATTTTAAAAACTAATCACACTCCTTAGTAAAAAACAAAAAAATAAAATGAAATTGTTCACACACAAAGTGTGTGCTCATCTTCTAGTTTGAATTATTGCATGTCATTTCCCAGCTAGATAGCAGCAGAGAGACCCATGCATTCCTGCATGCTTGTTTCGATTGCATCTCACGGCTAAAGTTGCTTCATATATCGTAACAGTGTGATGTTTATATAGAACCGTAATTGCATCTCATATGTCCAATAAAAATTGTTTTTCTTCTTTCTGTGACATCGGTTGGGATCTTCAATTTGTGGACAGCCAATTTCTTTTCTTATAAACTTTAAAATTCACTTCAAATTTTTGTTTCCTCGTAATTACTTATGAGAATTAGTTTTGAGCTGTTCATGAAATCTATAGATTGTCTTTCGTGGTTGGGACCTTCTTTTTCAACTCATTGCGTTCTAGATTCAAACTCTTCTCTCTCATTTTAAAATAAAGCAGTGCCGACTGTAATAAAAGAAAAAAAATTACATATATCTATAATGACTGTTTTTTTTTTTTTTACTTTTTTTTAAATTTTATTTTAAAACTATTGATTATTAATCTCAATTATCAAAATTATGAATTCTCCATAAAAGCCTAGTGATGTTGCTTGTCCATAAACTTTACAATTACTTCTCTTTCTTAATAATTTTCCTCACTTTTTAAAACTGCAATAACTTGGTACTAGATGCATAGATGTTGCTATTCACTCTGGTTGAACAAATATTCATATCTTTACACCAATATATCGACATAATTACTTGACAATGCCGGAATGTCGAGGATATCATTAGTTAGTTTTTTTAGTTGTAATTATGTTAAGATCTAATGATCTCATCGACACTAAAATGATTGCAAACTCTTCTCTTTGTGTTTTCTTGTTTTTTCTCTTCTGTTTTTACAATCGGGGTTATGTATATACATGTATATATGTATATATATTACAATGCTAAAACAGAATGTGTTGAGATAGTTAATAGTTTGAATGACATTGAACTTGAACTCTAACACTTATCTCCATTTAAAATTTAATTACGAAGTAAACAAGATAAAAGAAACTAATTAAAATATTATCATCACTCTTGGAAGTATTCTTCTCTAGCTAGTTATCGTCACGTTTGGGAGAAAAATGTATAAGAGATCATCATGTTTCGACAAAAATTAAAAAAAGAAGAAGAAGAAGATCATCATGTCTCTCCAAATTTGAGCAAAATCAAATGGCACAGCTTGTCTTTTTCTTTGATCATTAAAGTTTGATTGGTTCGGGAGGGAGGTCGGTGAAGATGAACTTGTTCAGTGATTTGGACTTGGACAAAAGTCAAACTGTCTAAATTGTTCGGTTTTGGTTTTGAGCTTTAAGTTGTGATCCACAATAAATCGAATTGGACGGTTGGACAAGTAAATAATATCGAATTGGACCGACTGGCGTTGTATTGATTTTGTATTATTTTTATTTTACACGTGTAAATAACTAAATGAGGATGAAAATTTGAAGTTTGGTGGGAGTATGAAGTTACTGATATTCAGGTTGTAACATATTAATTAGTTCAATGAATTTTGAAATTTGCCGATATGTTTGATTTTGAGATGGTTTAATGTGTTAGAAAATGAAAAATATGCAACAGGTTATGATTGCCTTTTCTTGTTAATTGGATAAACAAATTTTAGAAGAAATTTGGATTGGTTTCCTCATTGTTTTTGTTGAAACTGAGTCGAACCAGATCGATCGGTTGTAAATTGATTTGGTGGTACTTTGTTGTAATACTGATCCAATCTAAATCGTGCCGTTCCTGTAATGTTAGAGCTGCAAAAGTGATCATTATTTTTTTTACATCAAGGTACCTTGAGATCTCTCTCTCCCTCTCTCTCTCTCTCTCTCTCTCTC